TAAGTGCTCCTGTTCTATATATGAACATTTCAGACAGTCAAGCTTTATTTTCAGCGCTGCAGAGCTGAAAAAGTTCAACAACCTGAAACTGAAATGAGAGTCTTGGTTCTCTACCAAACAAGCCTCTGTCTGGCTGTGTAGGAGATGGGAAAGCAGTGGCTTGCTTTTTTAATGTGCATTTCAAATTTCACCAGCACTAGATGCGTTAAGGGTTCTCTCTATAGTAAAAATTAATTCATACTGGTTTCCTCCCTTATCGTGTGTAGCTGGCTCTGGATATTGACAAAGATGCTGACGAACAAAACCGCTACCTGGATGGCATGGTAAGGAACCAATGAAACATAAAAAGCATGGCTTTTTTGTGCTGGATCTCAGCAGTTACCTTAACTGTGGAAGTTTAATAGCCATTCAAAATTAGCAGAGAAAGTTAGATCCCAGTGGTTGGTTTGGCAAACCAGATAATGTAACTAAACCCATTTCCAGTGGACTTCTTGATATATCAACATCAGATACTTAGCAGCTGCTAGTATCACTTTGTCTAAATGGATGACAGGGCTGGTATCTAGCCTGTGGCGAGACTGATGTAGGACAGCACACTTCAGAAATACAGCTGGAGATTACCTCCTTACCGGGATTAAAGAGCTGTCTCCTGTGGCTAATGCTGGGAGATGGGCCTGTGATTTTTGGTATTGCTGCATAAATCTGTCAGGGTTACTTCCTGTAACACCTGGAACACAGACTACCTTTGTAGTTCACGGACGTCTTTGGAAGGAGAAAAGCGGATGCTCTGGGCCCGTTCAGGTTGGTTGGTGCCGTGTCCTGTCATCTTTCTGACACACAACACCCGATAAAACCAAAATCGCTTTCCATAGTAATCTGCTGCTTAAGCTTTGGTTGCTGATGGAAAATCGCAGTGCACTGGGGAAAGGCCAGAACAGCACATTCCTGTAGCAGAGGGGTTACCTGCTGAGGCATTTTAGGAGAATGGTAATTTGTTAACTGAACTGTGAGAGGGACGGAATGCAGCCCAGAGATTTGAGGAGGAGATTAGCACCATAACAGTGGTGTCCAGAGAGCCTTTTCTGCATGTGCTGGTTGTTGGAGAGCTGGTGCGTGGAAGCGACAGAAAAGATAATTGTAGTGTTGAAACCATTTGAGTCAAAGGTGTGAGCTCAGCTTGGAAGCTTAATAACGGTATATGCTGACAGCGTTGGAGTGTCTGAAATGGGTATTTGCTCAGCCCAAAAATTAGGAGAACGGAGAATCCAAATAAAAGGTGTAATGACAGAAGACCTTAAAGGAGAAGCCCTGAATCAGCATGAAATTGTGCTTCTGTTACAGAGAAGGTTTTGAAGCATTTCAGCAGCAACATGAGCAGAAACTCTTGAGTACTTTATGGATAAGGAAAACAGACCATAAGTCAAAACGAGAATGCCTGAACTGCATTAATTTGAGAATTGTTTGGCACTCTCTGGCGGAGTTGCGCATGCATGCTGTCCCATGCTGAAGGAAAGCTAGAACTAATGGCAAGAAATTGCACCTTGTTCTGCGCTTGCAAGCCTGCCCCGGTACGCTTAAGGGCATTAGCTTCATGTAGGGACATTTCTTTGGATGAAGCCTTCACTTGCAGAGTTGCTGTGAACAAGCTGTGCCAGGCAGAATAAGCTGCATGGGGACAACTGAACAGTCCAGCAGCAGGTAGTTTGACCCCATTTTAAAGTAGGGAGAGGCAGTTTATTTTATGTTTGGAATGGATCTTCCTCTGTCTTTTTTGTTTCCCTTTTTTTGAGCGTGGTGGGAATGGTGCTGCTCCTGGAGCCTGAGCACAGGAGGGGAAGGACCTTCTGAGTGAGGCGCAATGGGCACAGAGAGACGGGCAGCTCTGTGCAGCTCCCTGGGCAAATGTTTGTTAGCCAGGAAGTGGGAGATTCTTCAGGGCTATCTCCATCTCTTTATAACGCCTCCATCTTAATTCTCTTTCCCATTCAGGATTCAGATTTTATGAGTGTGACTGGCCTGCTAACCGGCAGCGTGAAGCGTTTCTCCACCATGACACGGTCCGGGAGGGATAACCGCAAGTTGCTCTGTTCTGTTTCAGTGGGACTGATTGTTGTTTTCTTCATCCTCTACTATCTCGTGTCCAAAGCAGGGACTTGAGCTTGTTCTGCAAGTTTTACAGAACAAAAAACATGATGATTGACAGACTTGTTCCAATGCCTTTCTCAGTCTACCCTATGGTGGAGTCTTTTGAGATGTTCCAGACAGACCTTCCAAATAACTTTTCTTTCCACCACCTTCTTGTCATTTTTCTGGCTGGTCTCAGACATCTCTTTATAAAATGAGTATGTTTGATTCTAAACAGATTTTCATGTATAACACGATTCTGATCTTGTTCAATGCTTACGCCTTTATCTCTTGCGTTGTTGTCCATGTCTTGTGGCCTGTTTTTAAGGGTCGCTTTTGTATTACCTTCCTTACAGATATTCGGTACTAGGCTTGTGAGGAGATACGGCTGACAAATCCAGAGACTTGTCAATACTCAAAAGTTTACTAAGCCAGCTGAGCTTTGGAAGCTGTAGAGTTTAGGATGCTGATTTATGAGATTTGGGAGTATGAATGTGTGGCTTACATTTCAGTGTGGCCACTCAGCTGATACCTGGTCTCAGTTTCCCCTTGACTTGGAGACCTGTTAATACCTTTGCTGTCCCTAAGTTGAAATTAAATCTGTACTGCTTTGAAATTAAATTAGCAGTAGATCTGGACCCTGATTCTCTCTAATTGTTGCAGTGAAGAGTTGCAGAGGCGCAAGACTATTTAAGTGCTATCTTGGTCATCTTTATCATCCTTCTGGGTAAAGCTGAGGACGAACCCTGCAAGAAAAGAGGCCCAAAGTCCATCAGCCACCTTGATTTACACACATACAGTATCTTCCAGTACCTTCCCACACACTTACAAATGCACTCCCTTAGACTATTAAATCAGTGTAAAGAAAATCTGATAGCAAAAGGTCCAGTTAATTTCAGTTATTATGGTACCCTGCTATTAGAGCACTTTGGGAAGATGACGTGCAAATAAAAGCAGAGGTTGAAGTCAAGTGAAACTCCTAAGTGGTGCTGTTGGAGTGGTGGTGGGAGGTCAAGGAAGGATTTGACCGGAGGGTTGATTTGTTTATTTATTTATTCACGTAGAAGGTAACCTAAGAAACTCTGGCTTTGCCTTTCATAGTGCTTGGGGGATCCCTGCCTGCAGTGCTCATGTGAGACGGGTGGCAAGGCACATCCCTACCAGTGTTGTTTCCAAAGCAGTCGTTCCCGATGAACGTGCAATGCATGCCAGGTTTCCTCTCCCAAGGTGGTGTACACAGCTCCGGGAGTGAGTGGCTGGGAACTCCATTCTCCCATCACCCTCCTTGCCTTTCGTTGAGCTGATTGTTGGGCTGCTCACTCACGTCACGATCCCAGCTGTATTCTTCCATTGCTGAGTTATTTAAGTCTGCCTATGATTGAAGTAAGATATCTGTAACTTTAAAAATACTGTGCCTGTTGTGAGAAAAAGAAGAAAGAATTTAAAATAAAACGCTCCTCCTCTCTTCAGACAAACCTCCACTGCCTGTTGTATAAACGTTTCACTTTCCAAAGCAGCTGAGCAGAGCTACTGTGTTCCATCTTGTCTCTTTTCTGTACCAACTGCTCATGTGTTCTGGTTTTCCTTTGTGAAAGTCTTTGCTTATTTGGTTCTCTTATCTTCCTGTAACAACCACCTCTGCAGGACTAAAGCATTCCTCCTCTGATTTTACAGTCTTTCTCCTCTCCAGCAAGCCTATATTCATCAATGGCTGGATGTTTCCTGTGGCCTTCCCCTTGTACCCACGAGGAATTCCTTTGTCCTTGGACTAACCCGGGTCCAGATCTGTAAAGGGACTGTGTTGTCCTTTGTTCCAGCTGTACCAAACTGCTAACAAAATACTAGCCTAACTGGATTAGGTGTCTTTTTTTTTTTTCCCACATTTGGGAACAAATGTGCAGGGAAGGCAAGTAGAAAGAATACAGAAATGTCCTTCTCTGGCTTTTCTTCCTGCTTCTCTGGTAAGATGCAGCAGCTCTGAACTCCTTCTGTTTGGAAGAATGATGAGTGAATTGATGGACTTTGTTTTGATTTTCTGAAGCAGGTGACTTCTGATGAAAGGCCACTGCAACAGCCTGCTCTTCATTATGGTGGTGGGTTTGGTTTGCTTTTACAGTTGTAAATAAAGCTCTGTTTTTAGAATTTTTTGCCCAAGTGTTTTTTTTTCCCTTGTGCTTATGTTCTAGCAAGGCTAAATACCAGGATCAAATCACTCCATTGTTCTACTTGAACAGTAGAGTGCCTGCTGCCTCAACGCCCAATTTCAACATTGCTCTGAGAAACAGCACATCTTCAATGAACTGAAATAGGGAGATGTGAGCAGAGCTGCCCTAGCTCGGAAGGAGCAGGTCTTCTGTTGCTCTGCAGCATCTGCCTCTGCCATTTCAGAAGATGACTTGTATCTCCAGTCTTCTCTCTGAACAAGCCATACTCCAGAAGCTGAGCTGCAGGGGGGAACTGTCTTTAGTGTCTTTCTGTGTTGGTCTGGGTACTAAATAGTCCAGCTGTTGGTCTGGGTTTGACTTGCCTTTGGCCTTTCTTTGCAAAGGAAACCTTTTGCTATTTTTAATGCTTTGTCTCTGATCCTTTGAATTCCTCAAAAAAAAAATTTTAAAAATTATATTTAATTAACCTCAGGAGTTTTAAACTGAAAAATTGAAGTTAAAGGTTCTTGAACCTCAGGTGACTTGTGCCTCCCTCTGATTCCCACCAGCGCAGCCATGCTTGAAGGCAGCAATTCCAGTTGCTCTCCTCTGTCCCCTGGCTGGACCCGTTGGGCACTGCGTACTCTCCTGCCCTGGCTCTGGGCATTTCTCCAGGTTCCTGCTGTCTGCTTTTCCTGCCCGGTGTCTGTGTCCCGTTGGTGTGGTGTTTGCCGCCGTTAGGCATTGGCACATGGCTGGAGCCAAGACTTCATTGTGCAAAGGAAGCTTGTAAGCATTGCCAAGCAATGAATTCCATGGGGAGGATCCATCTGTGTACCGAGTCTTGTTTCAGGAGCAGGTTATGGCACCGTGTAACCTTGCTCAACCCTCTGAAACGTAGAGCTGCAACATTAGGAAGTTCTTGGGAAAATTGAGTTAGGATGCCTGACCTGTAGGCGTGTTGCAAAAGAATTTTGCTCTGCAGCGAATGTACTGAGGAAGCGCAAAATCTGAGAGAAAGAAGAATTCAGGATGGGGGTTAATCACAACAGTAGCAACACAGCAGTTGAAAGCAGCACGGTGGTAGGGTGCAGGATCAAATACATAACAGCATGAGCACTGGCACTGACCCTCTTGAAGATATCCTGTCACCCAGCTCTTCAACATCTTCTAAACATCTAGTTATTTGAGCAATTTGTTTATTTTGGTTTCAGTGCTTGCCCATAGTCCTAATATTACAATGTTTTTTCTGAGGCATAAAAATTAGAGAGCAGATCTCCTTCACACACACACACAGCTCAAGGTGAATGTACAAAATATTTGGAGGTGGGTTTATTGATGCTTGTAACAAACCAGGAATTAGAACTCGTCTGTGAACTGTTATTTTAAGTGCGGTTTTGCAGCGCCATCTGAAGGTGCATCTCCAAATCGTTACGTACAGAATAACTTGTATTTTTCTTGGACGCTAACGCGCCAGCTAACACACTAGCTAACATGTATAACATGCAGCTGGGATCACTGCAGCAAACATCAAAAAAATTCTTGGTAATAATAGGACAAGATGAAATACCAAAAGGAATCACTTTCTGAATCCATACGCTCCTGGTTTTGACTGGAATTAGCAGAATGTAGTTAAGCGTCTGAAGACCGGGGGAAGGCCTCGGGGAAGCTGCAGGTGCCAGGGGGCTCGATCAGCGTCACAGGGAAAGGGAAAAAGGAGAAAAACAACCAAAATGCGACCGTGGTGCCTTGTTCTCAAGTAAACCCGTCCTCAGTGAGGGCCATCTGGCGTACGCGTGCCGCCGCGCTCAGCCACCGGCCCTGTCCCGGTGGCACGCGTGTTGTGGGACCGGGACGTTCCTGATGCTCTGCTGCTGCTACCGACTGGCTGCTCCTCCGTTGTGGGGAGGAATGTGGAGGCAGGAGAAAGGGAGTTTAGGGGCGAGTGAAATACGTCCATCTCTTTTT